TGGTGGTTACCTGCAGGAGCGAGACAAGTAGATATTTGAATATTTCATGTGATAAAACACTTTTATAATAAGGCATGTGGGATAAACCAAACCTGACTTAGAAGTATGAAGAGTTGTCTGGAACCCATTCCCCGTGACGGGATGCCTTGCTCAGTCTTGATGCGGTGGAGAGGAGCTTGTTCCTGCCTCAATGTGCCAGGCTTTGCTGACTCCCTATGGGAGGCTTTGCCCTTTCTGGGGAGTGGATGGGGAGGTAGAAAGGAGGTGAGGGGCAGGAACTGGAGGGAAGGAGGGAGGGGAAACTATAGTTGGTATGTAAATTTAGCAAAAAAAATTTTTTTTTAAGTATGAAGAGATATTGGGGCTGGAGAAATGGATCAGTGTAACAGCACTGGCTGCTCTTGTAGAGTGGCCAGGTTTGGTTCCCAGCACCACATGGGAGCTAACAACTGTCCATAACTCCAATTCCAGGGGTCTGACACCCTCTTCTGCCTCCTGTGGGCACTTCATGAATGTGATATACAGACACATGCAGGCAAGACACTCATATATATATAAAATATAGCAAAATAAATGCTTAAAAATGAAAAATAAACTTTTTTCTTTTTCTCCTGTTTCTATTTATTTATTTATTGATTGATTGAAAAGCCTTTCCCAATCATTGTGCCCGATATTAGCTCCATTGTATCTGCAGACAGTTGTCATTGTGAGTGCCCATGTCATGCTGTATCCTGGTTATCCACTGAAACTCCTGTTTCCCACGAGGTCACACCATTCACCCTTCCATGTGTGGTCCCTCCTACTGTCCTTACTCTAAGATATTAGTGCACAGCAAAGCTCGTCACAAGACCTGCTTATTACCAGGGTACTCTTGAAGTTGTCCCCAACTACAGAGGAGCCTGCTGGACTAAAGGAAAACACAACAATCCCCTCACCAAACGGCGATAAACTATAGATAGGAAAGAATTTTACAGGGACACAGACAATAAAAACATATTGTTTTGCATTTTACATGTGGCAGATGTGGGCTTCTGACTCACATAAGGAATCCACATTCTCCTTGAGATTTTGTGTCTTTGAACTTGAACAGTTAGGTCGGATGAAAGGAACAACCATTGATAAACAAGTCAGGAAGCTCTAGGTTAAAAGAAGCAGAGAGCATTACCCATTCTCTGAACAGGAGAAGACAGTAAAGATCAATATGCTGCTTCAGGAAGATAGGTTCTGTGGTGAGGAATCATAACCACAAGCTCTAGGCCAAGTTACAAGCCTGCACCAAGACACAGCAACAGACACGTCTTGATGTGTAGCACAGAGCAAACCCGCGTTTCCTGGAAAATGCCAGAGTGGTACATTAGAATCAAATCCAAGTCTCAAGAGTTAGAACATCCTGTCACCAACTGGCTGTACATGCCACCGCCTGTCTGTCCCTCACACTGTGGGCATAGGTCCAGGCTCTCATCAATGAAGCCTGTGTTCATGTGTTAGGGAAGAAGAGGATGAAGAAAGAGAGAGGAGAAAGGAAGGGCTGGAGTACATGTGCATGACTTCACTGTAATAATTACCACGATGACAGATGAGAAGGGAAGGCTTTACTCATTCATTGCAATTCACGCAGAGTTCTCAGAGAGAGAAAACAATAGAACAATTTTAAAACCATCATGGTCTAAGTGCATACATGGATGATGGAAAGGTACCCAAACAATGGAGATGTATGTGTTATTCAGGGATTATGAGGCCACAGAACATATTAAAGAAGATACATGTACTATTCATGGGGATAATTTCTGAAATAGCTTTTACCCCAAGGAGATACAATCAATTCCAAGAATGAACCAGCCTGGAAATACTAAGAAATAGAGTCTAGGGCTCTCAGAAGTGAAGGTTTCCTAATACCTCAGAATGACCGAGCAAAGAAGCAGATGCTATCATGTCTGTTTGATAGCATCCATTAGTGCACACTGCCTGCAAGAAGCTGGCAACGGCCATAAATGTACCTTGATCTTGAAACCACCATGGAAAAGACAGATGAGCTAGTCAGAGAGTGCATATGTGCGATTAGTGTAAGATCAAACAGTAATTAGCTTATGGTGGGAAATGCTTGGTGTGCCCTGTCATTTAAAGCAGGATCTACAATAAGAAAATAGTGATAGAGAGTGAGGATCTTGAAGAATAAAGGACTAGAGTGTGACCCCTCCTCCCAAGGCTCAGGGACTATCGCGGAAGGCGAGGGGGAAAGGCTGTAGGAGGCAGTGGTCAGAGAAGAATGGAGTGGATTTGACTGGTGGGCGTGTCAGGTCCATTGTACTCATGAATTCCAGCTGTCATTGTCTGTACAAGACCGCACAAGAGCAAGCCAGTCAACAGTCCACATGGATGGGAGGGGCTCAGGAGCACCCCCTCTAAAAGAGGGGCTGTGGAAAGCTGGTGACTTCTGGAGAAAGGAGAGTCCGCTTTCTTTAAGGGTTTGGTCCTTAGTAGGTCAACGGTGTTCCAGTGGATGGCCCCACACTCATGGATATATGGACAGGATGAGCTGGACTTGGTGGGTTATGAGGAAAAAGAAAAAGAGGACATGAAGTTGGGAAGGAGGGAGACGTCCGGAGGAGTCGGTGAGCGGTGGAAGGTGACTACGATCAAAGCACATTGCACGCATATATGAAATTTTCACAGAATTAACACATATATTGGGAAAATCAATGCGTGTGCTATAGAAAAGGAGGAACCTGAAGCCAAACTGAGAAGCCTAGGGTGAGGTCAATAACAATAAAACTGAGCTTCTAAAAGTTTTTTTATGTTATGAAATAAAATACTAATTTTCTTGATTACTATTTCAAAATAACCATGTTATAAAGGAGATCTGCATTAATAGGAAAAAATTGAATATTGTTAAAGAAATGTAACTTGTCATAAGCAGACACTAAAACAGTCTATGGGAAATCACACCTTATTATGCAATTTCAAGTCTCCAGAAATTACAGGTAGATCCACAATTAGTTATGATAAAGTTTCAGATGAGTAAACTGTCTTATACAGTACGAGCTGAGGAGCTAACAAGGTGGTACGTACAACTTTTGAAAACAAATCTTGGTCATTATAACGGAGTGTCAGAAAAAAGCAGATGTTTAATTGGCCATGTTGTTCGTATGCATTAGTAGAAACCGTGAGAAGAGGAGAAAGCGAGGACTGGAGAGATGGCTCAGCGGTTACAGAGCACTAGGCTGTTCTTCCAGAGTTCCTGAGTTCAATTCCCAGCATCCACATGGTGGCTCACAACTATCTGTAATAGGATCTGATGCCCTCTTCTGGCCTGTAGGTGTATCTGCATAGCATTCATACATAATATATAAATAGATAAATTTTTTAAAAAAGAAGAGAAAGCGAAACACCTGGCTGCTTCTAACGCTGAAGGTTTAAACCCTTTAGAGAAGATGCAGGCAGAGGGCATCCCTGTCGTCTGCACGCTCCTGTTTCCAGAAAGGCTTCTGGAAGTCGCTGCATACACACTGTATGATATCTAGAAAGAGTGTAATTACAGGTCAGGGAGACAGCTCAGTGGGGAAGGTGCTTGCCTTCCAGCCTGATGACCGGAATTCCATTCCTAGGACCCACATGATAGAAAGAGAGAGCCGACTCCCGCAAACTAGCCTCTCGCTCCCACACTCAAGCTGTGGCTTGTGTGCCATCCCCAAATAAGTAAATAAATGCATTAAAAATGTATTCGGAGTGAGTGTGCTCACACACAGCAAATTGTTGCGTGTTGGCGTGCCCCCATCTGTGGATCCACTTTAGGGCCAGTCGGACACATATGGAGTGAGACAATTGAACCACACCTACTCCCAGACTGCTAACGGCCAACTGTGAGCATCTCAAGGAAGACCCTTGAGCTGCTGAGTTCTAGCTAGCATCAGACTTTTTGTTTTCCCATCACTTCCTTGTCACCTTGAGATTATTACACCATTCCCCCGAATACTATCTTCTTCCATTTCTATTTCTTTCTTTTCTTTCTTTCTTTCTTTTTTTCTTTTCTTTTGGATTTTCGAGACAGGGTTTCTCCATAGCTTTTTTTGGTTCCTGTCCTGGAACTAGCTCTTGTAGACCAGGCTGGCTTCGAACTCACAGAGATCCGCCTGCCTCTGCCTTCCAAGTGCTGGGATTAAAGGCGTGTGCCACCACCGCCCGGCCTCCATTTCTATTTCTAAGAAATAGTTTTAAATCCGTAGTGTCTGGGGAAAGCAATAGATCGTGGCTGTCTTTGAGTTATACCCTTTTCTGCTTAAAATGCTTTTAAACTCAAGAATATTTCAAGCCATTTTCCCCTACATGAAGCACCTTTCATCGAGGCAAGTGCAATTTATTTTTAGGACCCTTGCATAGATGCGACTAAAAAGGGATTCTCTATGAAGGCTAAGGCTCTTATGCAACCCTGGTTTACTTGATTTAATCAGGATGTTCAAAGAAAATGTCAGATACGTAACAGTGACTTATACTTAGGGAGAAAAATTAAAGCGATTAGAGCATCCTTTGAGGCAGTTTCCCCAAGTATGCATGGTACAATGTTCCTTAAGATTCTAGAATTCTGTGGGAATTTGACCCATTCCCTTCCCATTGTTAAAAGGCAAGGGGAATGGAACCGCCCCTGGCTCCCTGCTCCCTGTTGGCCATGTTCAGATTGCTCAATGTGTTCTGATCGTCCACAGAATCGTTTTTTTTTAGAGTTTGCTATTTTGGTTAAAGTAGCGCTAGTAAAAGCCAGAAGCGATGCTGAGCATCACTGAGCTATCCGCGGCGCCACCTCACTCACACACACAGCCCGCATTCATTCTGTCTAGTCAGGCCTGCCTTTCATGCAGTGAGGGGGTGGTAAGAAAGACGCCCTCTTTCATGTGGGGGCGTGTTTTCCAGGACCGATACTGCGAACGTAGGATTGTTTGCTTGTTTGCGATGCCGGCCCAGAGGTTCTGCCCCTCTGCACCAGAGCAGGCAGCCGCACCACTCACCGGCAGGGCAGGATCCTGACCACATCGTTGGGCTTGTACCCTTCGATGCACACTGCGCAGTTATCAAAATCAGACTCTGTTTCCTGCAACAGAAGAAACAGAAAGGCCGACTTTAGCTTCCATCCTGAGCAAACACGGCCATAAACCAAAGGCGAGCTCGCTCATAGCCAGCCTCTCAGCAACATTACCGGGCTTCTTAATCAATAATTCACCAGCCGGCTCAGTTTCCACCCCTCCCAGCCTTCACGGGCTGTTTCCATTCCGAGAGCTTTGGTGAGGGAAGCGCCATTCCCACATGCTGTTCCTAAAATGCTGCAAATGACAGTTAGAGGTGACACCGAAGCCCCAAGGGTGAGGAATGGTTCATCCGAAAGATGTATAACGCACTCGGCCCCCTGGAATCTAAAGTGTGGAATAAGTGTAAACACAAATGGAGTTTTTCTTTTCTTTTTTTTTTTCTGCATACAAACCTAAAAGAGGCACCTCATGGTCTACTTACAGCATCATACTCGTACGTTTTACTCTCTAGTTGAGTGGGGGAAGATACCGATGAAAATAAATGCCACCTCTAAATCTGGTTTGTGTGTGTGCTCATGTGAGGGCACACGCGTGTGCATCAGCGCTGCTCTCGTCATCATCATCATCATCATTATTATCATTATTATTATGATGATGACGATGACAATGACGATGATAACTACTGGAGCTCCCCTGCCTGGCTAGGTTTGACTAGGTCAGCGAGCCCCAGGAATCCTCCAGCCTCTATCTCCACAAGAAAGCGTCACCACATTTGACTCTTCTGTGAGTGTTGGGGACCAAACTCAGTTAGCATACACATTTTACCAACTCAGCCATCTTCCCAATGCCCTGGTTATCCTTCTAAATAAATTTTCAAAAGCATTCTCGTATTGTTTAAACTGATAGCAAGTAAGTAATGAAAAAAAATGAGTTATTCAGAGCAGAGACAGCCCCTGCTGTGCTCCTGAATGCGAGGCCTTACTAAGTCTCCAGGGGATGCTCACCTGCACGCTGGCTTGCAACCCACTGTTCTAAACAACAGGCTGTCGGGCGCCCTTAGAACCTGTGCACTTGGGAGGTGCTGCTGTTTCCTATTTCCTGGAGGTGTATCAGGGTCTTGGGAGTCTAGCCACCCTTCTGCAGTGAGAGAGGCTGGTGGGTTCTGAGCCCTAGAGTTCAGAAGAGCTAAGTATCATTTGCACATTCATACTCTAAGCTTACACGAACAGCACACTCAGTGTATAAACTCAGCCTCTTTCCAAGGACTTTTGGGAAAACTTCCCTGGGGTCATACAAGAGCAACTATCAGCTTTTATTGTGCACATCACTGGGATTAAGGTAAGCGGACACTGATGGAAATAATGGCCTTTGGTTTGCTGCCTTTCTTCTTCTATTGGCTGCTAGACCTAAATTTAAGACCAGTTTTTGTCACATGCTTCAAGGAACACTTTTGTGCACTGTCTCCCCCAGATGTGGAATGTTTCCCTGTGGTTTATGGTTTTCTGAGACAGGGTCTATGTAGCCCTGTTAGTCTCACTGTGACACTTATACACGTGTGTGTCACACTCCTCCACTGTCTCACTGTGAAACTTTCACACATGTGTGTCACACTCCTCCACGGTCTCACTGTGACACTTCTACACATGTGTGTCACACTCCTCCACTCTCACTGTGACACTGTCACACGTATGTGTTACACTCCTCCACGGTCTCACTGTGACACTTTCACGCGTGTGTGTCACACTCCTCCATGGTCTCACTGTGACACTTTCACACGTGTGTGTCACACTCCTCCACTCTCACTGTGACACTTTCACACGTGTGTGTCACACTCCTCCACTCTCACTGTGACACTTTCACACGTGTGTGTCACACTCCTCCACGGTCTCACTGGACACTTTCACACGTGTGTGTCACACTCCACTCTCACTGTGACACTTTCACATGTGTGCGTGTCACACTCTTCCACCTCCCACTAACCTCTCCTATCCTCCCACTCTTTCCACCTCTCTTCTCCTTTCTCTAAAGTAGGGGAGCCTTCTGCTTCCTAAGTCCTGCTGTGAATGCTAGACTCTGTATATGAAAGAAAATGTGGTCTATCATCTTTCTGCACCTGCTTATTTTGTTTAACATGATAATATCTAGTTCCATTTATTATCCTTCAGATGACATAATTTCATTCTTCTTAATGCCTCAATAATTCTGCACTGTGAGCCCACATCACGTTTACTGTATGAATGTATCCATTCATTTGTTGATGGGCACTGATACTGACTGAACAGCTTGGCTATTGTTGCTTGCTGAACTTCAAATTTTCTCATGCTTGGTTGCTAATAAATTGCATGTATTTTACAAACGCTTAATTCTTAAACACTTAATTATTAAAAACACTTAATTATTAAAACATTTAATTATTAAAACACTTAATTATTCAAAAGTAAATTACTTAAAAACACTTAATTATTGAAAATAAATTATGCATGTTTTACAAACACTTAATATGTTTAATAAAAGCATTCTAAGTTCAAGAAATGTATAGACACACAGATTTACATCTTTCTCCTTTTTTATTTTCTCTCTTCTACTTGGGCTATCAGAAAAGACAAGAGTCTCATTGACTAGGTCCTCACCCAAAGGAAAAGAGGTTCTCACCTTGTCACCCTTCCTGATGGTCCTGACCTGGAGCTTGCTGATGGCTTTCTTTGCTGCATCTCCCAGTCGGCGCTGAAAAAACAAAAGCTGTTGGTTAATAATAAAGATGTGTGATTCCCTCATACTTTCTTATGGCATTTCATAAACCAGAGCGGCTCTCTCTGAAATCACACATGTCATGAATGTTAAGGATGATGGGGGGGAAGACATAGGCCTGGGCATTTGCAGAGAGTGGATCTAGGACTCGATGTCCATGAAAACAACCGTGTTGGAGAGAATCCCTTTTTCCTAGTATTGGGCTCACACTCACACGACACGGAGTTAGCACGTGAAATAGAAACTTCCTGGTTTCTGTGTATATCTGTACAGACTGGCGCTGGCAAACCTGAAGTCTATCCTAACTTGTTGGAGTAGCTGGCCAGTGTGTAATCTCTTTTCTACCACCGACACCTTTATTTGCTGTGTCTTTCAATTTGCTCATACCGACATTCGGTCTGCAGTGACTACCCTGTCACCTTCTCCCTTACGTGTGCATCTGAGTGCGCTATGCAGAGAGCAAGGAGCTGGCTCAGTAGGTAATGATCTTGTCACGTAAGCATGAGGTTCTGAGTTCAGAGTCCCAGGACCCCAGGAAGAGCTACTGTGGTAACCCCAGAGCTGGAGTGTGGAGACAGGTGCATCCCTGGAGTGTTTTGGACAGCCTAGCCAAATCAGTAAGCATCGGGTCCAGTGAAGGGGCTTTGTCTCAAAAGACGAAGATCGACAGAGAAAGGTACATCTGCCACTGGCCTCAACATGCATTTGAGCTGTTATATGAGTGTTCACACACAAACACAAATGTGCATACACCCATATGGACACATTTAATACACACACACACACACGCATGCATGCATGCATACACACCACAGAATTTTGTCTTTAGGTTAGCAGGTGATTACAAATCACATAACTGGAGAACGGCTATCAACCGTGTTGAGAAAGATTACATCATGCCCCAATTTTGCATAGGGAAAATTGCCACCCTAATGAGTCCCGCAATGAGGAGACGGGCGCGGGAATGAAATCTTCATCTGTCGAGGGACAATGGGATTTCTGTGTGTGCTTGCAAGCTTCCCACGTGTTTTCGCCTCATGCTTAGCATGCATGCTTCTGGCCTTCAACAGACGCATCTGTAGCAGTGGAAAGTATTTGAAGGGTTCAAAGTAGTAGGGGGTTGGTTTTTGTTCAGACAACAGTGATAACAAGAGTACCAACAATAACAATGTTTAGTTTTCTTTTATCTGTCATAACTTCTTAAAATCCAAATTGACTTTATTTTTCTTGTGCTGGGTTTGATCCTAGGGCCTCGGGCATGCTAAGCGAGCTCTCTACGCTTGGGCTATATGCCCATATTTTTCTCCTAAGAATACTGGACAGACCGACTGTCTTAGTCACTTCTCTATTGCTGTGATGGAATACCATGACCAAGGCAACTTATAGAAGGAAATGTTTATTTGGACTTGTGGTTCCAGAGGGACAAGAGACGGTCACCATCATGGAGAGCATCCCTGGCAGCTGGCAGGCATGGCGGCTGCACGGGAAGCAGAGAGGTCACACAAAGAATGGTGTAAGGCTTTCACCTCCCAGAGTCTGCGTTCACTGACATTTCTTCCAATAAGGCTGCATCCCCTAAGCCTCTCCTAACAACACATCTAACTCAAACCATCGCATCACTGAAACCTACAATGTTCCAGGCACCCGCTGAAGTCTTCTTTCCTTTACCATCCTACAGCCCCATGAGAAAGGTAGACCCCCCAAAAGCCCTGCAGTTTCAGAGCTTTGAAAAATACACCACAACACAGCTAGGCAGCCCTCCAGTCCCCCAGCCAGTCATCAAGACACTAGCCAACCGACCTGTTGGCTAGAAACCGGAGCCTATTAGGTCGGTATAAATCACTTCTATAGTGTTTAAATAAGCAGAAAGTGAGCATTTCTCCAAGTTATTTAATTCTCCTTAAGGATATTTTGTCTATTCCTAAAGATATTAATTAGCATCCAATACCTTAACACACACACACACACGCACACTCACATACACACAAATTTTTATTTCGTTCTCTTGCTTTTGGAGACAAGGTCTTCCTACATAGCCTTGGTTGATATTGAACTCAAAAATCCACCCAGTTTCCTGAGTGCCAGGACTGGAGTCATGTACCAGCCTGCCTAGCGCATATTTTTAATTATATTTCCTGTTAAATGCAGATCTGGGTTTTGTAAAAAATGGTACTGAACTATAATTTTCCAAATCCCTAATCTCTGTAGCTTATCACATAGAAGAATTCCCATTAAAATGAATAAATAAAACATTCAAACAATAGATATTTTCTTTTTCTTTTCTTTTCTTTTTTTTTTTTTTTTTTTGGTTTTTCGAGACAGGGTTTCTCTGTGGCTTTGGAGCCTGTCCTGGCACTAGCTCTGTAGACCAGGCTGGTCTCGAACTCACAGAGATCCGCCTGCCTCTGCCTCCCGAGTGCTGGGATTAAAGGCGTGCGCCACCATGGCCTGGCAACAATAGATGTTTTTAAAGCATGGAAATAACCTGAGAAATTTAACCTGGCAATGGGGAAATACAAAGGAGCCGCGTGGGTGGATCTCAGGTGGATCTCAACCTCACAGAGGAGCCGTGTGGCTGGATCTCCGCCTCGCAGAGGAGCCGCGTGGGTGGATCTCAGCCTCGCAGAGGAACAGCGTGGGTGGATCTCAGCCTCACAAAAAAACCCAGCAGTGGATCTTCCGAACACCGAAATCCTTTAATACATCTCCTCATGTGCTGACCCCAAACCATAACATTCTTTTCATTGCTACATAATAACTGTAATTTTGCGGCTTTTGTGAATTGTAATGTATATACAAAGGGGTCATAACCCGCAGGTTGAGATCCGCTGAACTGTACTGATACTTTCTGTAAGGAAGTAAAGTTGAGTAACCAGTCTGGTGAAGCCTTCAGTATTGATGAGTAACCACCACATACTGGGGGAAAAGGTAGAGAACCGTCTTTCTTTTATTCTCAGGAGTAAATGCCACAGGTCTGCTTAAAAAAGACACTTGAACCCCAGATAAAGAGATGTTGGATGCCTTCATTTTTATTTTTAAATATTACTCAAATTATTCTCTATATATGAGTCTTTTGCTTGTAAACATGCCTGTACATGTCAAGTGTGTCCCTGGTGCTCATAGAGGCCAGAAAGAGGACATTGGAACCCCTGGAACTAAGGTCGAAGGTGGTTGTGAGCTGCCATGGGGGTGCTAGGAATTTACCTTGGGTCCTCTGAAAGAGCAGCCAGAGCTCTTAACCATTGAACTATCTCTTCAGTACCATGAAGTGTTGGCTATTTTTCTTTTTGAAAGTTTAGAAAAATTTTCAGTTATGTGTAGATGGTATTTTAAGAATAGTGTGTTCAATCACTTAATTTTTTTTTCAAGACAGGGTTTCTCTGTGTAGACCTGGCTGTCCTGGAACTTGCTCAGTAGGCCAGGGTGGCTTCGAACTCACAGAGATCCGCCTGCTCCTGGCTGCCAAGTGCTAGGATTAAAGGTGTGTGCTACCACGGCCCAGTTTAAATTTTTTTATTTCCCATGAGTAAGGAAGAAATTAGGTTAAAAATAGTCTTTTCAAACACAGTGGCCAGAGATTACACTAAAACACAGCTAGACTGGAAGCTGTCTACCTCTCTTCCTCTTCCCTCCCTCCTGTCTTGCTTTGCTGTGCCAGGCTCTCCCTAGGGAACCAGGGTGGTCAGCTATTTTCCATCACCCTGTGTCCACCTCCAGAGTGCTGAAGTTAGAGGCATGTATGTGTCCATGTACTGCCACATCTGGGTGAAAAGAATGCTTTCAAAAGTGTATTTCACTTGATCCATTTTTTTTTTAGCAAATGACATATACCCATAAACATGGGTGTGTAAGAAAAGTTAGAAAAACATGCCTTTAAATTTTGGCCATGTATTTATCTTTACTTTTGTCTACATCTACATTCCCAGTCTCTCTTTCTGAGAAAAGCCTCTTCCTATGCTCTTTAAAGAGACATTGAAAACTGCCTTTCTTAAAAAAAATAGTGAAGTCTATTCAGGAAATGACAAGCAAGCTGGTATTAAGGTACCCGGGATCATGACTAACAAGACAGCTGGTGGACAGAGGATTAGAAAGACAGACTGCTCCTACCATTTTTATGGCCTCAGCCCAGAGGGTACAAGTGGTTTCCTGAAGGGTCACTTAGGAGGAGGGCTTCCTAAGTTCCCAGGACTAACATCCAGGAGACAGTGAGCTAGAAAACGGGGAAGTCAGAGGCATGAGGCCTTGGAGGCTCCCTTCCGGAAGTCCCCAGAAATCAAATGGTTCTCAAAGCTCTGACAGGAACCAAGCAGCTGCCTTGGCAGACACTCAGGGCTTAACTGAGAGTGAGGTAGAGCAACACACGTCTGCCTTCATTTTATTTCTGGCACCATTGCTACCTTCAAATATTGGGCCATTTCCTGATTGGTGTGCACATAGGTACATCAATTTTTTAAGAAGTGTTCACCTGAAGCTGGTAGCCCTTCTCCTTTCAGGACAAAGACACCAAGATAAGAGCCATTAGGATCTGGAGCTGGAAAGATGGCTCAGTGATTAAGGTGCTTGCTGAGCAAGCATGAAGCCCTCAGTGTGGGTCCTCAGCACTGAGGCAAGAAGCTGTGTGGTGAGCACATCTCTCACTGGAGTGGAGTAGAGTGGAGTGGGGCTTGGGAAGATCTTCTTAGGCATCCCTGACCAGGCAGCCTGTTTGAAACTCAAAATCTAGGCACAAAGGGAAAACCTTCCTTAAAACTCAAGGTCAAGAGTGATGTGGGAGTGTCATATATCAATCTGTCGATTTCATTGGTTAATTAATAAAGAAACTGCTTGGCCTGATAGGTTAGAACATAGGTGGGTGGTGTAAATGGAACAGAATGCTGGGAAGAAGGGAAGTTAGGCAGACACCATGCCTCTCCTCTCCAGGGCAGACACGATGAAGTTCCAGCCCAAGATGGACTTACGCTAGAATCTTCCTGGAG